ATGGAAATGGAGGGGGGCTCCGTTTCCTAAATAAGGAGTTATTACGCGTGTGAGTATCGGACGGAGAACAGTATAAAAGCCAGCTGTATGATACGGAATGATAATCTTATTACCTCCCACTGCATATACTTAAAGCTACTCCCCCTGAAGTACACCAGGGTGGGGATTTAAATTAAATACACTCCGCTACAGGTCGTGCCGCCCAATAGTAGGACAAACCAAGGTCACCTAAAGGCCAGGGCTAATCAAGAATACCCCGTCCACCTCACCTCCATTTCGATAAATCGATACGGAGGGAATATAGTCAATCCAGAGTTGAAAGCGCGCGGTAGCAGATTACGCGGCATACCACCAAACAGCCAGTAGCCTAACTTGGCTTCTTGCAACCGTTCTTATTCGGAGTTCAAACACATATCCTTGCCAGGAACCCACCCCATCGTATATGGAAGGCCTATCCTACACGATCATACCATTTCCCCCGTTCAATTCACACACTTCACCCCTGAGCCTTCGAAACGGAATTAAATCTGTTTCAAGGTGTTCACCAGCGGAGAAACCAGGCTACAAAGGGAACCGCTATGAGCCGTCTGTATAGTGTTACACTGTACTGAAGAGACCTGCCATCCAATACGCTTGAGACAGGTGGATAAAGCATAACAGATAACTCGAGTACTCTGGAACAGAACAGCATTCACATTGCTGAGCGAGCCCTTCGAGCAAGTGTAGAAGACTATCCATCTGCGGTACATTTGGAAGGCCAGCCCCCAACGAAGAACCAAATCTTCGAGGAACCTGGCAAGGTGTTCACTCCATACGGAGAGGACTGTACACACACACACCACAAATTTATATACCGCGCATTAGCGTACCTTAAACTACACAGCTCTGCGACAGAGCAATTTCCTCCTAGAGGACAAATTAAATTCTGTAAACACTACTTGACTATATCCACCCCAGGTCAGGCAGTTTGCAGAACCGCAGTCCGCATCACACCGTTACACCACCAGGCCATGCTTTCTCTTGGATTTGAACTCATGAAAAGGCAAACTTACAATAAAAGTTCATGCAAAAAGCGAAGTGGTTAAACTTCCAGGGCCGAACCTTGATTCGAACAAGGGCTACGCAGTTAAGGATCTCCAGGGGTAGAGGTAGACCTCCAAAGGTCAGAGGTAAGGTCCAAGGGGGTAGAGGTAGAGATTAAGGCAAAGTTGTACCTCCCAATCTTAAATCATACTTTTTTTAAGGTCAATACCCAGTCTCTGGTGTGGGAAACACCTGGAAATCACTGTTTAATGGATTAACAGAGGACTCAAAGGTCTATGGCCCCCTGAAAGGGCAATACCTCTGGTGAGTACCTCTGAAGGTCGGAGGTAAGGTAGAGGGAGGTAGAGGTAGAGGTTGGCCCCTCCATACCTCTACCTCTACCCCTGGAGAACCTTATACGCAGTGTGTAGTTGACGAAATGGTTCAACGAAGCTGCGTGTGCTACCAACTGCACCATTCGACCGTGATAGCTGGACACTACAAACGACTCAGCAGAAGCGAAATAGCAGAGCCTAGGAAATTGCGGAGGGGTTCAGAAAGGACAAGATGGGGCGGCTCAGATCTGGCAAGCGGACTGAAGGCTCAATTGTTCGGTAGAACCATAGTTCACTAAGAACAAAGCGTGGAAGGGAAGGCGGAGCGGAACGCGGAATGGACAACCAAGCAGTTGACTCGTTTGCGGAATCGGCCCAAGCAGACCGAGTACGGCGGAGGACAGGCCTGGGACAAAAGAGTTGTGGAAAGTGTGTGGGAAAAATCAGGAAGGACTGACAACCCCTTCTTGTTGCGGGGACGCATGGAGATCTGGGGGAACGAGGCTGGGCAATTGGAATCAAGGACTGTGCAAGCGGAATAGGAAACAAGTACGCACACAAGCATCGGGCGGGAATCAGTATAAATAGTAGCTGTTTAGTACTGGAAGACCATCTTATTACCTCCCACTGCTCATACCTAAAGCTACTCCTCCCCAGTACATTGGGGCAGAGACTTAAAAATATAAATACATTCTGCCGCGGGTTGCGCTGCTCAATAGTGGGACAAACCAAGATCAACTAGGACCAAGGGCGTCAAGAAATACCAGTCCGCAGAACCCTCCCGCGCCCGATAACTCGAGGCGGAAGGGAATTTTGTCACTCCAGAGTTGAAAGTGTGCGGTAGCAGAATATGCGGCACATCACCAAACGGCCAGCAGCCTAACTTAGCTGCGTGCAACTGTTAAATTTGGGATTCGAACACATGTCCTGGCGCAGAATACTACTCTATCATTATGGAACGGTTACTCCGCACGACTATAACCACTTCCCACCTACAATTTCGCACCATTTCACCTCGAGCTAACTTGCAGAATCGACTCCGCAATAAATAGGTGTCCACAGCGGAGAAAGAAAACAGGCTACATAGGACATTTCTACAACCCGTCCATGCTGTGTGTTATGTCGCTGAGTCAAGAGGGAAGGAATATCCGATCATATGACCAGAGCGGCAGAGCCGGACTAAGCCGATACTCGGTGATGAACAGATATCTAGATCAGCCCTTCTCAGAACACCACAACTCAGCAAACCGATTGACTGGCCTCGGGCTGCGAGATGGAAATGTGTCCAATACCAAGGCTCCGGGCAGTACTAGCTCGAAGATGGCAATGGGACATGGATAGCCTGGACCAGAGACGTAAGGGCAGTTACCGGTGTCGTTGGTTAGTCCTCCGGCGTAGGTCCAGGACGGACGGAGCGATCAGTAAGGAGCAATGATGATGAGCCGGAGTTGACTAGAGGCATATCCAAGACCGGAGTCGTACCACAGTTGTTAGTAAGGCCGAGTGAGAACTCCGGGGACGCGACCAAGAGTTCCAGAGACGTGACCGAGGACCGAAGTCCCAGAGTCCAGGAGGGAACCAGAGGGAAACAGGAGTGAGGCCATAATGAGGGAGAGGTCAAGAGGCAATGAACAAGAACCTCAGGAGACGATTGAGACGATTGGTAACAGTCCATGAAGAGGAAACATGGAAACAACGTTAATTTTCCGGATAATCTACAGGAAGTAAAGTACCGGTATAAATACTAGAGAGAGGTAATCAGCACAGAAGGAATTAAGGTAACATGAGGCAATGATAAGTAGCATGAAGCAAAGTACACCATATGGAAGAAGAGACTATCTTGCGGCAGAATAGGTCAAGTGAGGATGAAGAATAATAGGAAGTAAGAAAGGGGAAAAGTAAAGCATATGGATAGATGGATGGATAGATGGATAGAAGGATGATAAGATGATGATGCTAAGATACCTGCCTTGAGGCAGATGAAGAAGTGATATGGAAATGATGGGAACATGATGGGAAGGTGCAGCATGTGAGAAGACAATATGGAGGAGTGATATGAGTGTTGAATCAATAGAAGAGAAGTGATAAGGAAGAGATAAATGGAACAGAAATGAATAAGCATGATACCACATGATCCAGACGAGAGTCCAATGTCTCCGGGGACTCTGATTCCCGCAGAGATGTTGGAATGTGAGCAGGAGTGTGGAAGTATAGGTGAAGGAGGTATAATAAATAGGAAAGTACTCAGTGATCCATAATTGGACAAGAGCTATGTATTCCGGGATAGGTCAGGGAACAGGTGGACCATGGTCAACGGAAGTAAGCCAGAGTGGTGCTGGAGTATTACCGGGATAGTGCAGGGTCTGATGTAGTGTGTGACTGTATGTCCGGAGGTAACCGGAGCACAATCAGAGTCGGTTTGAGTGCGACCGGAACCAATAACGGGAAAAATTGAAAGACTGGATTGCACGGATATAACACTGTGTTATACAGTTCTGAAGACACCTACCGTCCGAATTATACGAGACAGGTGGAAAAAAGTATAACCCACATACCTCTTACATCCCGGCACGGATCAGCATTCACATTGCGGAGCAACACCTTTGTGCAAGTGTAGAGAAAGCTATCTGACCGCGGCTTGTTTGAAAGGCCAGCCCCAACGAAGAAATAAATCTTTGAGGAACCTAGTGATCGTTCACTCTTTGCGGAGAGAACTGTAACACCACCTGTAACTTTGAAAACCTTACACATACCATCGCTGCATAAATCTCTGTGACGGAGTAATTTCCTCCCAGAGGACAAACTACAACTTTGTGACCTCTGCCTGACTTTACCCACCTGGGTCAGACAAATCACAGAACCGCAGCCCACATCACACCGCAGCCCAGCATGGGAATCCTCAGAGCTTCTTCCCTTTGGATCTCCCTCGCTAGGTGCGCTATACCTTCCTGTATTCTAGTGTACATTATTTATATGCTTTGGATCTCGCTCGCTAGGACTCTTGAGTATTCTCGGGCCTCGAGGTTGCCCTTACATTAGCGGTAAATAATAATAGTAATTGCTGTCCGAATTATGAGCAGCAGCACATTGGCTGGGCAAAAATGAGTGTACCAGAGTCAGAAATTACTCTTTCAATTTACCTATCATTGTCGAACATCAACACATCTCCTCACAAATCACGATTTGATGGTGGCCGGTCCAGTCCGTGGCTTTCCTTTGCGGACCTCGACCTCAGGGTTGACAACTCGAAGTCAGAAGCACCTGGGGGGCAGTAGTGAGCACCCCACCTTCTAATTAAATACCATTTAATTATTGCTATCCCCTCCTCCTGCCAACCTCCTGCTCATCCTAGTAGTTAAAGCTGAGTACATATGTGACCGTAATAATAGTTACGTAGGAGTCCCTCACTTGAATCGGGGTTGGGTCATAAAATTTGGGTCAGATGGTTTTTGTTTCCATTTCTTTTGTTAGAGTTTTGAGCTCGTCAACATCTCTTTAAGTTCTTTGGTTGAACTCTCCAGTGCCCCAAGCATGACCTAACCCACTGTGATCTTCAAGCAAGCTCAACCTGTGTTCAACTTCACACTGAAAACTCATTTAATCTACATATTCCTATATTATAACAACAAGGGAGGGATCAATGACCTGGTGGTGTAGCTGGTAACACACCTGCTCTGCTTAAATATGGATATGTAAAATTAAGCAGGAGTCCCTCGTTCAATTCGGGGTCAGGTCATGGAGTTCAAACTCTTTATTTTTCTTCTTCTTTCCTTTTCGTTGCTTCCGTGTCTTCAATTTGGACCTCGATCAAGCTTAAACACTCTGTTCGTGTTCATAGCGGCTGATCATGACTCACCGCCAGTGGAAGGAAGGTGTATTCCGGCGTGGTCCCGTTAAGAAACAGCTGGGGCCCGTACTACATACACACGTCAAGTGTATGCTACAGCTACCGTCAATCTTTGAACACTTAATCACCTGTGCAGACTCCTTGCACCTTCGACCACATCAAGTACCTACAATACCGGTTGGAACAAAGGCAAGACACATCGCAGGGCCGCATGAACACCAAAATCTGGTAGAGAGAAAACTGCAATGTCATTCCAATCTGCTGAATAAATACTCCGCAGGTCTGAACATTGTGTATGTTGCATATATTGCAAATACTTTGAAAGTGTATTTCGCCAGGCGCTGGAGCAAATCAAAGTCTTTGCTATGGGCCATGATGTGCAGAAACTCGTCCGCCGACACCCACCTCCGCGGCATGTCCGGGACAATTCGAAAAATGTTGAGGAAGAACGCATGTCAAAGGGCAACGAGATCAGGAAACGAGCACGCGATCAGTGCATGCGACTCCGTTTCCACCGCTCTTCTGCAGAAACGGCAGACCCTAAAGTCTCATGGTGTGCGTTTCCGGTGGTGCTCGTCGTAGTGGAGGATCTTGACGCTAAGTGTGTAGGCTGATGTGACCAGGCTGATGTGATCAGGTGAGTTAATGCCTTCCAGTGGGCAGGTATGCGGGTGCGAAAATATTGACAAAGATTTGAAGCTGTTGGAACGAGGGCACTCTCATCATTCCGCTCTAACCGGCCTTGGATGAGCGGTAGGCGGGACGACATCTCAACGACGGCGTCTGTGATCCGTTTCTAGCATGCTGCCTCCAGGCTTTGCCCAACACTTGCAACGGCCTCTACTGTCAAGTCTCCAAGCGAAAGTTGAACGGGGACAGGCAGCTTCTGTAGGACGATTTGCAAATCCGAGAACCAGCATGGGTGCCCGCCTTGGGCGAGGAATATGAAGTCGAGATATGCCGCAGTTGCGTAGTGAGTTTTGTGGAGAGTGATGAGGTAGATCAAGTATCCCAGCGCAATTATCGGACCTCAGTAAGCGAGGGGAATAACACCAGTTTCGGAGAATAGGATGGCGAGGATGGAATGACTATGCAAGCCTAATAGACGGCGGAGGAATTGGTGCTGGACCTCGGTGAGCTGCTCCAGATGCTTCACCACTACGTCGAGGCTGACCTCGCAGCCAAACGTCAAGTGGGGGTCCATGCACGCCATATAGAGCCGTACCCCTTTGTATGGGGGCAGGCAGCCAATCATTGATTTGGCTGCAAATGTCGTATTCGCCACCGCTCGAGCCTTCCACGCTTTCTTCGAGTAGTGAGCTGCGAAGATATCACCGCTCACGGAGGTGAAAATAAGTCCTACAAATTTATATTTCTTGACAAGTTTGATGACCGCTGCACCGATTTTCATGACTGGGAGGGTCCGTGGTAATTCGCCAGACAACATCCACTCAGTTTTCAGAACGCTGATCACCATGAAGTTCAGATCTCCAAGAGTAAGTTCAACCTGGTTCAACTTTTTGATCAAAAACTCAGGTGCTCCACTGCCATACTGTACATTACATATAAAAAAGGAGGCAGGAGGCAATGATGACCTGATGTTGTAACTGGTAACATGCCTGCCGTTCCTAATTTCGATAAGAGCAAGAGTAAGTGGGAGTCCCTCGTTTGATTTGGGGTCAGGTCATGATGCTTTGATAGGTTTTTTCTTTTTTCTTTCATTTCTTTTTCTTTTTCCGCTCTCATAGTCTTCCATTGGACTCTCCAGTAGATTCACTTGAGTTGGGTGCTGAATCAAGCTTCCCGTGCGATGAAGGGTTTCAAATGTGTTTGTGGTTTGACTTTTCATCAAAAGTCACAAAAACTCACCAGCCCAAGTGCCCATACCATGAAAAAGGGGGAGGAGGCAATAATGACCTGATGATGTAACTGGCAACACATTTACTTACTAATATTACGTGAATGTCTAAGTAGGAGGAGTCCACACTAGATTACTATTATCCAAAGGGGCAAACACGGAAGCGAGCAACAGGAAGCTTTGATCTGAGTCCAGAACACTAGTATTAATTAGTACAAACGAGTACTGTCAAAGGCTCCGGGTCCTCGGGGATGTGGCATTGTATGTCGGTGTCGGCCGTTATAAACACCGGAGGAGCTCCGAGCCCTTGGCAAGTAAACTCTCTTTCTGCTTTTCAATTCCTTCTTGCACTCTGCTGACAAAACATGAACTCTGGGTTGGACTTGTTCTCTCCCTGTGCTGTGCCTCCCTGTTTAGATCTTGACTCTCCCGCCATCTCATTCTGCTCTCCAAAAAACAAAACAAAACAAAAAGATGTTCCGCTCCGCGACACGGTTTTCATTGTCATGCCGCCACATTTTTTCTGTAGTTCTAGGTGCAGCGCGTACCTCTGTGGATCTCAATCAAACTATCTGCTGCTGTAATAAAAATAAGCTGTGATATGCGGATTTGAGTTGAGCTTTTCGTGTCAAGTCCAGATTCAATTCGAGCCTCACAAAGAAATGAGTCAACTTCCAAGGTGTCTCGGACAGGTAGTTGGAACGGTTTTCTACTCCAGCCATCAACTCAACTTGATGAACTCTCTCTTTCAACGTTATATTTTTGTTTCTTGGATAGTCCTCTGTTTTACTCAAATCCGGTTCAGATCGCTATTCTTTGTATGTTTGTCTGTCGAACTGATGCTTTTGCAAGCCCAACCAGCCACTACTATATCGCACCGGGATCCTGGCCATCTAAGGGGTTTGGGCCCAATTTCGATCTTACACAGGGGCTTTCCCCAGGTTTGTGGGCCCTAGTCAATAGGCGCACATCCTGCGAAGAGATTGAGCATATTTGTAATAATTTTGGTGCCGTTTTGAGTGCCCAATAAACTTAATTTCCACAGATTTCCCGAAAGGGTAATTGACAGGCATCCTGGCCACCCTTAAAAGCCCATTATTAGGGGCGAATGAGGGCCGGCACCATTTCTCATAGTGCATATGGGATCCATATTATGTATTTCGGGTACTTATATCATACATTGGGCGTTGCAAAAGCAGAGTAGCGGAGACACTTTACAAGAGCCCTCGGCGGCGGGATCCATACTGGCACCTAAATCGGGTTGGTGCACCAGTGGTAACACATGGTAGGCCGAAATAAGTGACAGGGAGGTCTATTGGAACCCAATGGACCCATCTGAATGCATATCTCTACTTTAGAGGTGTACTGTTGAGAACCCGACGTTTAATCTTTTTTCCAGCCTCAAATGAGTGGTTTTCTGTCTGCACTCACATCAGGAGGGAGGGCGAAGCGTTGAAGGAGCGTAGTATGGATAGCGTGGATTTATTACCTATCAGCATGGATAGTCCAAGGTGTTGGAACCATAGTCTTCAAGGGTCCTTCAGTATCTCGAATTTAAGAGTTCGATCGCTGGGTTTCTGTTCCAATTGTATTGGTGAATTTGACTGCAGAGGGCAAATCCCATGCCAGGTGCTGCATACTCAGAAAGAAGCCCCAGGTTTTAGCAGCATAATGAGCCCCCAAAATCCCGGATCCGCTGCGTATTGGTCCAGAAACAAGGGAGACAGTCGCTCGGGGTTATCAATTGATATTCTCACCCTCCGGATCGCAATCAATCTGGGCACAGCTTTGGATCAACTTATCACTTTAGGTTGAAATTTGGTCTCAAGATGCGCAATGGGTCATATTCCATTGTGAAAATGTGAAGGGGACATATTAAACACTATTAAGTCCTACAATTGGCCCATGGCCAGGTTCCTAGTGTGGCCAGGTTCCCAGCGCGATATAGTATGTGTGTTCACAGCAATATATCCTCCAAGGCCTCTATGTACTTGCCATGCATGGATGTGCCCCTGAGCCTTGGATAGTATCATCACAGATGGTTCCTCGGTCCATATCCTAGTGCGTCTCTTAAATTCGACCAAGGCTGTGTAGGTGAGCCGCTCCCGGTGCTTTTGACTCGGTGTTATCCGAAACGTGCTGGAAGGCCCAGAATACAACATTTAAGTTGAATTCATCTTGAAGTACTCAAGGACACAATTTACGGAGGTCAGAACCAGAAGGAGAGCATTGACCAAGTCTCCGCATTCAATACGGTAGCTGCATCTCAACACCATATTCTCCCCCTCCTCCCCAGTGGAACCTCTTGTTTATAAACTTACTTGGAAAGTTTTAATATCCGCCTGCATTTGTACAATTCACTCACAGGATGCAAGTGAAATTATCGGGCATCTCGGGGATGTTGAAAATGCATTCAATGCCAGTTACGGCGGGTTCAAATGGACTAGAGTGATTTTTAACTTAGTAACAGCCTTTGTGCACTCCAGTGATATAATTGTGTTCCTCAACTACTGCCATAGCTAGAATGAATCCGCCGCTGCACAATTTTCTGGCTTGTTCCTTGAATCCTTGATGCAGCCTGACACAGGCAGAGGCTAGAAAGAGGGCTGTTTTACAGTTGGTGTTGAATTCAACGGATGGTTGTGTTGGGGGCCAAACAGAGCCCAAGAACTGCCAACTCATTAGTCCGAATCGACCGATGACTAAGCATCTCGGCTGCCGAGTTGTTGGTCGAAAATCGACTGATGACCAAGCAAACTCAACTGAGTATATTATTTTTCACGGCATGCAACTTCAATGATACAATAATTGGAAACACTGGCCGATGTACTGTAAACAACAGGGTATCCAAACCGAAATGGCTCATCGACCAGCTCCTCCGACTGCTCCATTATCACAGTCCCTTGTAAATTGTACTTCAACAGCCCTGGTGTTGCTTGTGGAGGTCAAAGTGCCCGGAGGTGTTTCTGAAACTTCCTGGGCGAAGAAAATGGACAACTTGGGCTCTTCGTCTTCCTTGGCAATTTTCTTA